TTCCACACTGCAGACTGCAGTTTTGTTACCTTCTGAAAATGCTCTTCATTGCTGTAGGCTATGGAATTATGGGGAAAAACGAAAGTAGAAAGTAGATCGGGCTTTAGCTGACATCTGATCCATTCAAATATGCATGGACTATTTACTATTACAAGGTTACTAAGAATGGCTGACACACGGTATAACAAACTATTTGTATAATCTGAATTTGTGTATCTACACATGGAACGTCACTTACTGAAGCAACGTCCAGATGTGAGTTGGATTGCACAAATACAAATATGCAAGAAGACTTAAGATAAACACACAAACAAATAACAGGTGTGCATGGATGCCAGAGTGAATCTGATGAATCAGTGACCCACCAAGTAAACAAGTGGGACCCAGGGACTGTAGGTTATTAGCTACGAGCTCAGTTATGTTCTACTGTGAAGAGAAATGGCAGACAAATGTTTATGTTCAAAACCCAGAGAAGCGCACACATTTGGACGGAACTCTTCTTCTCTTCTTCTCTACTCTGCTCCCGTTCTCAGAACACACTGTGCAGTGGTGACTCATGCTATCATATCCACATAACAGTTTGGAAAGAAAATCGTTCAAAATAAATAAAGAAATGCTGGTTGTCTGTAACCCCCCCCCACCACCACCTCCACCCCGCGTCGCCTAGTTACCAGTGGCTTTTGTTCTCGTAACATGCAAAATCGTGAGGGGAGGAGAATGCTAAACATTTTAATATATACAAAAAGGCACACAAATGAGTCCAGAGAGTGGGCATGAGTCCTCAGAGTCTTTCCATCACGTGAGCTTTTGCAGAACACACACTGTGTGCGCACGCTCTTGCGCAGACGAAAACATGCAAATGCACTGTATCTGGACAAACGGGCGCACTTTTATGGAAAGTTCAACCACATCTCCATGGGAGGCCTATGGTGGACTATACTTGACACTTTTATTGGACTATAAAGAAGTCCACAGGAGTCCCGCGGTCTGTAATGCTGACACCAGCTTCAAAAACTTCACCCCTCTAGAAAAAAAAAATGTAAAGAAATGTTAAATATGTAAACAATGTAAAGAAATGTTAAATATGTAAACTTTCCTTTTAGCCAGAATACAGTCCATAAGCCAAGACATGTTTGGTGTCTGAAATGATAAACACATCATTAAGGGCTGTAATGAGAGTGGTAGGGAATGTAGTGTTAGGCAGTGTTGCAATCAGGAGGCGAGTCCAAGTCAAGGCCGAGACCTGGACACATCAAGTCATAGTCAAGACCAAGACTTTGTAGTAGTTGAGTGCAAGTTAAGACCAAGACCTGGACACATCTAGTCAGAGTCAAAGCGAAGAAAAAAATATATAGTGTAAAAACATTATGATTATTATTATTATATTATAGTCTTAGTTCAACTTTGCATTATAACTTTTGGTAGCAAATGACGATGAGGTTATTCTCGGTCCCTTCTTCTTTAAAATTCATTCAGAAGGCACCACCTGAAGTCAACTGAATATAAACTAAACAACATTTATTCATTTTCATTATTAAATGAAAATATTAATAATTACCTTATTACCCAGTTACCCCAACAGATTTAATGTAAACTTGTAGAGAAAAGACTGTTTGATTCTGTTTGAAGGTTTTGTTGGTATTCAGTAAGGACAGAAACAAAGACAGAGGTATGCTGTTCTAGGTGGGGCTTCACTCTGCTATACAACCACTTACAAAGCACGAACACACGTACAGCTCAAACTACTCTATCCTAAACTATTACTGTAACACACTTTACACAGAATGACTATTCTTGTAACCAGTGTTGTGCATAAATTTGAAGTATTTATGGCTACTGTCACAACAAACCTCCATCTACTTATCCCAATCCCAAACAATTTTCCACTTATCCCAAATGTAGATCAGCCAATATGTTTTTTGGTTTTGTAGCTTATCATTTGAGCTAAGAGGCTAACACTGCTAAGAAACACTAGAAGTCATCAGTCACCCAAATCTTTTTCATAAACACATCCCAAAATTGCACCCAGGTCTTCATTTAGGTCGCTCAGACTTGTTATTAGGGCACAGTAAGTCACAAAGTAAGATCTGAGTAACTGAACTATAAAAATAAGCAAAACCACTGTGTAGCTGAATCCTGCTGGCAGCTATTTTAGACAAATGGTGTGGTGCTGTGCTTTGGCTGATCGATGAGGTCTGGCCTAAGTGGAATATTGTATAAATGAGATGCATTGCTTATTAGAATCAGAGACACACAATTTTAATCATTAATATCTTATTGCATCGCAATATCTGACATATTTCTTGTCTATATTGTGCAGCACTTGTAGCTAATAAGTTATAGAAACTTAATTGCCACCAGTTTATCATCACATAAGCTGCATGTTTCATTTATAAAACATTTGTGTTAGATTGTAAAGTAATCTGAAACAGACTTGCTTATAGTTCTTGATGCTGAATCTGAATACTGTAATTCTGTCCATTGTTCTTGATAACAGTATGTCACAGTGTCAGAAAGCACATAAGTCTATTTGAGTTTACCTAACTATTCTGACACTGTTTAAGGCAAATGTTTGATGATTTAAACATGCAGTTTACACAGTAATCAAGGGGTATAAGTTTCAATTACCGATTAGTGACAAGATGCCAAGCAAACTTCAGACACCAAGCATGTCTCAGCTTTTTGACTAATTTGGGGTCAGAGAGGAAACTGTGTAAATTTGATTTCTCACCAAACCAACGCTTAAAACAACAGCACTAAAACCCTCCTCTACTGATATCAACAGAGCGCGATCCTGACATGACCAGGCCTCGTGCGGCGTGTGAGCGCATACCTGTGTGTGTGTGTGTGTGTATTTTTCTTGTTATGTTCCTACGGAATGCCAGGGGCATTACAACACAACCCCTTTTTTCTTTTTTTTCTACCCGAAGTCAGACGGAAAGTTCATAAAAAGGTAAATTCATAAAAGTGGATACGAAAAACAGACCCCACTACTGGCATTAACGAGTCTGGGCTTCGGAAAAGTCTGCAGCCGTGTTCACAGAGGCCAGAAGCGCACATAACCCACCCCCACCACCCCTCCAAACCACCTCACATTATTAACACAACATGTAAAACTCACCACACGCCGAAGGCCAATTAGCCCTAAACTACTGAAGGAGAGAGAAATCCAACACTACGCCTTCGGCATCTGGCTAGGGTAGAAGATGCTCAGCTTTCAGCTGCGTAATTAGTGCAAACGCTCCACAGCTTGCTGCAGATACGCTGTACTGTATGTTTTCAAGCCCTTTTATCCCAAAGCCTAAAACCAGAGAGCTAAATCCAGCTGTACTCAGGGGATACGGAGGGTGGAAATGTTATGGAGCAAAAGAAGGGATTCCCTCCCTCTATCTTTCCATCCCTCTTCCCTTCTCTTCACTTGTGTCATGTGCGCTTGGACTCATTGGAAAAACGTTTGAAGTGCGACACGTGCAGGAACCCAACCCAAGTCCCCGAGTCCAAGGCTGCACTGTATGTATAAATAGGATATGAATTCATATGTGGCGCACCACAGATGATAAAAAGCAAACCTGCTTTTTTGGTTGTTTTGATACTGACATATCATCAATGATCATTTTCTGACTACAGAACTGCTCTTATTTATTATTATGGTATGCATATTTTTGTAGTGGACTACTCTTATGCTAAAAATGAAACTGTGCTGCAACAGATGGGCTAAACTGTGCAAATGTACAAGGGTCATTCTACAGAAACGTCCACTTTCATGTCTATCCATAGGAGTCACTGGTGTTACTGATTGTCACTGGTGTTACACATAAGAGAGGTAACACCAGAGACAGTAACACCAATGACATTTTTAATGAAAAATGCATTTTACAAAATGGCTGCCAATTTAATTCATTTGTATTCTATTTTTTTCCACAGTTACAGTTAAGAATAAAGTAGGTCATACCAGGGACTTCAACTAAAAGCTTCATATGAAATCATGAGCTAAATGAGAAAATTTCTCATAACTGAAAAGACACAGTGGACTTGCCATGTGCTTTTTTCATAGCTCTTCAGAAAACAGGTAAAAGGAAGTCAACTGATGTCATCAGTTTGATTTTTATTTTAAAATAAGAGTTTTTGTTATGCAGCAACACCAGTGACACAACTCCTGGGGACAACTTTCATTATATATTTTATAATATTTATTTGGCTTTTGTTTTCTTTATGTCATTTAATTCATATATTACCTAGTCATGTATAGATTATTGCAATTAAAATTGCAGAAAAACATGTTTTTTACTTCAAAATATGGCCTCACCCTTTACACATGACTGTGAGGACGAGCTCTTCTGTGGCGCTTGGAATTCTAGATAATTGATTTAAAAACCAATATTGCTAAATTGATGGCTCAAGAAGGTGTAATTGTTAAAATAACTTGTTTTATTTTAAAACATAAATAAATTGTAACCCTAACATGTTTTACAAGTGTAATATATCTGTAAACGCTAGGGACACAAAAATGGACGTTTTCATAACTATATAATGACCTATAAGGTAAAGTGATCACTGAGTGGAAATACAACATGGTGTTTGTAATAAATGGATATTGATTGCATGTATGTGGAGCATGGGCACAAACTAGCATGGGTTATAACGCAACATGATCGTTTTTATGTTGTTAAACAGGCTCAGTAAAAAATGCTGGTCCCTTCCACATATTCCTGTAGCATATGGATGTCATTTCAATTTTTTGTGTTGATACACGCTGCTCATGACAAAAATAAATGAATTTGTGTATTTAAGTTGGAAAACAACAAAGAACTGCATTATATTAACGGTGTTTAAATCTTCTCAGGAATAACAGAACTAGTTCCTCAGTTACAGTTTATCCCTCCTACTTTGTAAGATGCAGGAGCTACAAAAAGTATGTTTTTATTCATAGCAGAGATGTGCGGGTTGCTCATATTAAAGAACATATTTATTTAAAAATGATTTAACAAATTTAGACTTACAAATGAAACACAGGCAGCTAGCAGCAGAATTCTGACCAACAGATCCTCAAACTGCTCCACCACCAACTCCCACAGAGACTTTCCTGAGAGAGAGAGAGAGAGAGAGAGAGAGAGAGAGAGAGAGAGAGAGAGAGAGAGAGAGAGATTAGAGAGACAGTGACATTACATTAAATAGTAACTGACTAACATTTCTAGCATCCCTCACTGCAAAATGTGGAGGAAAAAGTTAGCGTCCAAGAGACAGAAGGTCTCCTCACTCCAACTTCTGCCACTCCATCTATCTACACTATGTTCCCAAAAGTATTCAGACACCCCTTCTAATTTGTGAATTCAGTGACAGTGTGGTTTACTCAGATTGTACTCGGGCATTCAGAGAGCCATTTCTTACAGATACAGTTCTTTTGGCTGGAAGTAATCAAATTCTCAGGATGTAGAGGCTGTTTCCGCAGCAAATGGGGGACAAACTTCATATGAATACATATGATATCAGAGGAAAGAGCAGGTATGTACAAACTTTTAGACATATAGTGCACATCAGCCCCAAAACACTGGGACCAAACTTTCGCAGAACTGGTCTTCATTTTATGTCATTTAAGCAACTGTAACAGAATTTGCCCCATGACAAAAGCTCAGAAATGCACTGGAAACTTTTTATGTAATTGACTCAGAGCTTTTCTACTGAACTATCTGCAGAGGAATAGAACTGACAGCAGTGCTACACACCACAGTTCAATACTGTCTATAACACACTAATGAGATTTTAAAACTGAAGATGGTTCAGTTAGACACATTAGCGATGCTGCTGTAGACCATGTGCCTGTAACCGAGATTGAGAGGGTGACAGAGCCTTGAACTGAGAAACAAGGAAGGAAGGAAGGACAGAAAGGAAGGAAGGCAGGCAGGTAGGGTAGGCCGGAAGGCAGGCAGGAAGGGGAGGCGGGAATGCAGGCAGGTAGGGTAGGCAAGAAGGCAGGAAGGCAGGTAGGTAGGGTAGGCAAGAAGGCGCGAAGGCAGGAGGCAGAAAGCCAGGCAGGTAGGGTAGGAAGGTAGGCAGGGAGGGTAAGCAGGATGGCAGACAGGTAGGGAGGGTAGGTAGGAAATGAGTGAGGAAGGAATGAATGAGGGAAGGAAGGCAGAAAGGCAGAAAGGCAGGCAGGTAGGGAGGGTAGGTAGGAAAGCAGGAAAGCAGGCAGGTAGGGAAAACAGGAAGGCAGAAAGGCAGGCAGGTAGGGAGTGTAGGCAGGAAAGCAGGCAGGTAGGGAAAACAGGAAGGCAGAAAGGCAGGCAGGTAGGGAGGGTAGGCAGGAAAGCAGGAAGGCAGGCAGGTAGGGAAGGCAGGAAGGCAGGGTAGGCAGGAAAGCAGGCAGGTAGGGTTTGAAAGAAGGAAGGAAGGCAAGTAGGGTATTAAGGAATGAAAAATAAGAGAGAGAAAAAGAAAGCAAGAAAATGTACCAATGAAAGATGGACAGAAGAAAGAGGAAAAATGAACAAAGCAACAAACTGAGGAAACACATGAAAGAAGGAAAAGGCAAAAAAAGGAAGAACAATAAAGAAAAAAAATGAGAAAGAATAAAACACTGAGGGAGAATGAAAAAACAAATAGGTAATAATGAACAGACAGAGAGAGAGAAAGAAGAAAAAGGAGAGTGGGGTAGGTTTACAGGTATATACTCCTCCACAGAGGGTAGAGGCAAGTGTCTGTAGGCAGTTACAGAAGACTGGATCGTATTAGTCACTGAGAGACTTTCAGCTGGACATTCTGAACTCTCTACTCTGTGTGTTTGCCTGTGTTTTTATCAAACCAGTTATATTTGTAACTGATTATCTAATGCCATCAGCCCCAGGGGACGCTGCAATTCACATTCATTTACTTTTCCCTCCACTTGTATTATAGAAACTTGACATATCTAAACATATGCCTGGATACTGAGAAAACATCTCCAAAGTACTTTTACCATTTTTGGAAGTCAGTGTCGTCTGGCTGTGACTTTGTGGGCAATATGTCAGGCTCAGCGCTGACAATATGGATTACTCAGACTTTACCGGGCTTTTTCTTACAGATAAAGTCGAGCTGGAGGGTAAGGTGTGTGTGAGTGTGTGTATGCAAGCTTTCTAACAGTGTGTATCTCTTTCTAGTAAAACAGCCTCAGCTCACACGAAGAGAGAGTCTCATAAAGAGAGAGCAGTAACATCACGATGGAAAGATCAATATTTACCTTCCTCTGCTGGCAGCTCTGTCCATCCAACCAGGACGATCCGTGGAGGAATGAGAGGGAGAGAGAGAGAGAGAGAGAGACAGAGAGAGAGAGAGAGAGAGAGAGAGAGAGAGAGAGAGAGTTAAATACATCTAGCAAAGAAAAAAAAATACAACAATGAAATAAAAACTCAAATAAACAAATAACAAAACAATTTAAACAATGACCAGAAACTTAATAAATTAAATTAAGCTGTAATTCTTTTTAAATTAAGTTATCCTGCATTGGTGGTCTACATAAGACCAAGAAAGAAAGAAAGATAGAAAGAACGAAAGAAAGAAAATTAAATACATTTATTTTAAATAAATAATACATTAAAATTATAAATACATTTGGTAGGTTTCATATTATGCTCTGTACATATACAAATATCACAACAAAATCAAACATGTACATTAAATTGAATTAATTAAATTCAATTGTAATTCATTAAATTAAGCCATCCTGTATTGATGACCTACATAATACAAAGAAAGAAAGACAAAAAGAAAAGATATGAAGGAAGAGAAAAAAAGAAAGAAATTAAGTATATATTAAGTATAATACATTAATACAATATATAATACATTAATAAATACATTAATTTAAGCTGCTATGTAATATCAAACACCTTCTAAAGAAATGAAACAGTACAAAAAAATGTACTGTTTATATAATAAATAAACACCAAAAATCAAACATCTACCTTACATTTAATGAATTCAATTATATTAAGCTGTAATTAATTAAATTGAACTATTCTGTGCTGTTCGTCTACATAATGTCAAACATCTGCCAAACATCATTCTAAACATATGTGTTCCTGTATGACGACAATCAGATGCAGCTGCTAGTTTATTTAACCAACTATGCTAACAATATTTGCATGCATGCAAGCACCATCTATTTTCATCCCCTTATCATAAATGAACAGCTACACCCATCGGGACACACGGTTGATCAGCAGAACACAGTTCAGGGTAAAGTCTTGTTAATAAGAAGGGATGCAAGATGATATCAGAAGAGTTTTATTGGTAGATAACTGCTTAAACTGATATTTGAGTAGAATGTTTCAGTAAACCCTACCCTTCAGCAATAAATACATGGCATACACTACATATGTTACATTTCTCTGTACTGCTAATCCAGATCTATAAGATATCGACATTGGCCTAGAATTTACATCTCAGTGCACCTTATCCTGTTATATTTTTGCCAGGAGGATCAGCATGTCCACTTTTTTTAGCTTGAGGAAAGAAGGCCGACGGCTTCCAATATTAACAATGTAGCACGCCATATACATAGCATGTATGAGGATGCTTAACCTTGTGTGATCGGGTGAAAATCTACAGCAGTTGTTGGTATTTGAACTCTAAAACAAAACAAATACACCCCTCCCTTCAGGGCTCCTTCAAAAGCTTGGCCCCCTAAATTCATGCACACGCATTGCCAAGGCAAACAACACTGTTTCAGATGTTCAAGGCCATGAAACCCTTTGCAAACATTGTACGTGCCATTGTCTTATAACTTTCAAGTGAATGGCAACACAGCAAGTAATGTAACTAATGTTGGCTAGGCTGTGGGTTAGCACCCTGCTGTGAAGCTAACCAGTTGCAAACATTTGCAAACTGGACAAAACAATACTGACCTATTGGGTCTGTGAAGTTAATGTTACCCACCTTTCAAGCAGAAACAGAGCAACCTCCTCATCCCTTATTATTCCTTTCAACTCTCAATGAAGCTGAAGTCATTGAAAATGCTGAAAGACCACTGAAATAACTGGAGCCTACGCAACCAGTGCAGCTAACAGGACTAAACAGTCCTGTTTCACTGATGGGTTTTATATATGCGATAAAAAGGCTGACATACACTCACTTTTTTAGCTCTGTGTGTTTTTTAGCCCAGGCCAAAGCCGTAGGTCATGAAGCTACTGCAGTGTAAGCTAAGCTAAGATTAGCCCTCAGCTACTAACATGCTAAGAGAAATGAATCCTCAGCTTTGACAAAAAAAAGTGTTAATTACAGCTATAAACGTTTACACAGAGAGCTCACAGCAGAGTAGGAGCCAGATCTGTAATATACTTTGGGAAAACTGTTATTCTGAAATAGATATGATGAGGCTGACATTGGCTTCCTATTAGCTTCTTGTTCGAATGTTCCTGTTCCTGATCTTAAATGGTGCAGCAGTTACATTCTGATACCTCAAGTGAAATATGGCTCATATGGTTTACATCACCGATCAGCTCTCAACTCAGGATTGGCTAATTAGCGAAATGTTGGCTGATCACTGACCGCATATTCGGGCTCAAAATCTGGCAATACTGATACATAGACAATCAACCCTTTTCATCTCTAATGTAGGCTTACAGCTCTTGCAATTTGACACTGGCACAAGATTTAGAGAAAAACGATTCAGCTGCAGCTGTTAGCAACGCCAAAGCCAGGAACCACTTACTTTAAAAGAAAAGGTCAATGCAAAGCAACCAATCACAAGCTGTTTTGTTTGCGCATACTGTAACTGACAGAATTTCAGTCAGAAAGGCCTTCAAGCACAAATTATTCATTTTCATAGGACACATTTCTTAGGAGATTAGATGTATACGATAATCCATTTGCATAAGGAATTGGAATCTCAATGGAAAATAAATGAATAACAGTAGTTAGCTGCTGTCGGAAGAAAACAGTCAGTTTCAGTTTTTGACATAATATAAAAAAAACGTGTTGCCCTTTACACTGTTTGTAAATTTCATGAAGAATGGAGCAAAAGAAATGGCTCAAACATTTTTGTAAAAAAGTCTGGTTCCACTGACTTACATTAAAAGTAGAGTACCTTTTTTCCTTCTCCTGTAAAGTTATCATTTTGGAAATACAAGGTTTTGTTCCGAGAACAGCGATATATATATAAGCTACAGAGAAAATGAGACTCCTAACAACCATGCAAGACCTGGCAGACCACAAAAACTGTCATCACATAAACAGTATAGTCATCTTTTGAGAGGGGAAAATAAAGCTCCACTCTTGCTTCAGATCAGCACTGTGACAACTCAGTGCTGTGGTCCTGAAAGGATGTGTAGCCGTCAAAAAGCGATCACAGAGAAAAAAAAATAGACAAAAAAAAGAAAAATTTGCAAATCAAACAAAAAAACCTGCTGGTGTTCTCAGAACAATGAACACTCAACATCAGAAGCAAAAAATGCAACCAACTTCTAAGACTGAACTTTGAATGGGTAAAAAATATCCTTTCAGATTTCTTTGAAAAACTGAAAGCCAGTGTCTCGAAAACAATGAAAGCAGTAATAATAGCAAGCATTTGATATTATTATTAGTTGTAGGGTTAGTTAGCTGTTCTGTGTCGTTTTCCACTACATGTTTTCTGTTTTCTCCCGACGTTGATAAATGAATAACTTGTACCAAATGGCTGTTTTGACTGGAAATCAAATAAATGAAGGGTTGTCTCTTTTTTTGTTTTCACACTACTGTCCATGTGCATGAGAGAGGAGCGTCTGAGGTTGAGACTAGCAAAGCCACATCATGAATGCGCTGTTCAAACAGTCCCTCTTTAGTTTGCTGTCGTGTTGGCTCAGCTGAGCCAAGTCACTTTATTCCCTGATTGAAAGTTAATTACACACAGACACACAGCTCGATGATCTGCCATAAGAATCAGGGATTACTGAAGGGATTACGGCTGGAGTATTCTTCCTCAGGCTCCTCCAGAATAAAAGATGATGGAGCGCTCATTCCTCTGTTCGGCCTTGATAGCATGCTTTTACTGACCACATAAATCTGATTCAAAAGAAGGCTCACTTTTTGTAAGGCACGATGGCACAAAGGAGATTAAAAGATTTAAAGAGGTAATAAAAAGCAAACCAGCACAATCACAGCTTCCTATGAGGCAGAGGTAAAAAAGGCAACATGATGCATCCATCTGAAAGTGGCAGTGATTCTGGAAAATTAGATTCAATCATAAATTATGAAAAAATTTAAATATTGCAGACCTGCAAGAGGGTCTACCCATAACTCTTTATGGTTTTGTTTGTTTAAATATTCCTTTTTGCTGTTCTTCACTAGATCTCTTCATAAAGGTAGTTTGTACTATGTTATTCCTCTGCTAAACATTAGCTTTGGATGCTTTTTAAATATTAAATGTTCAGATTTAACAGTTTAGCCCGTAGTGCTGTGGTTAAACAGGGGAGCTTCATATTAGATTCCACAGTGGTGTAATCATCGCCGGACGCTCATGTCTGAATCCTGGTAATGCCACGACCAAACAAAGCAACTATATATTAGTGCGCTATCAGCGATATTTTGGCTAAGAAAAGTGCAGGCTGTCAAAATCACTATATATAATCAGGCCCTAACTGAAATATGGCAATTGTTAAAAATATATGCGCACAAAATGTATATTCATTGTTTCTATTCCACTATATAACAAAATGGTACCTCCAATCATATTTGTTTGTTCTGTTTGTTTTATTTTCAATCTGAATAGTACCACAATAACCAAATCTGTGAAATTTGAGATTTCACAATGCATTGCATCTTATCCTAAAGAGACGCAACCAACTTAAATTGTGGTAAAATTTGAGTTTCAAGGTGCACCGAATATTCTCCTGAAGAACTGGAATCAAAATTAATTGCTGAAATTTGATTTTACATGATGTGTTTCCTTACCTTAATTGTAACTAAATTAAATAGAAATCAGAACTTTACATTACTGGCATCAAATCAATATTAAGCATAAAAAAAGAGAGTTGAATCAACTTAAAATTTTAAGGCAACTTACTTCACAGCTTTTTTAAGTTAACTCAACTTGAGGGAGTTGGTAAACCCTATTGTCTCAAGTTAAGTCAAGGAAGGTATAAAGTAAGCTGCCTTAAAATCATTTAACAGTGTAGTTATTATTGTACTAATTAAAAGAGCTTTAAATTAGACCTTTTTATTTTCTGCTTATTGAAATGTTAAGATGTAAACAGTCATTCAGAGTGGTTTGATGTGAAACTT